AAACCCCACAGGGAGAGCACCCAGAGCCCAGAGAAGCACCCAGATCTCCTGAGTCTCCTCGGAATTCCGTGGGGATGTCACCCAAAGCCCTGTGGAAACAGGACCCAGAGACCCACGAGGATGGCACCCAGAACTCCAGGGGGTTGGCACCCCAAATCCTTTAGGGATGGCACCCAATGGAAACGGCACCCAAAGCTGCCTGGAAAGGGCACCCAGAGCCCGAGGGGAGTGACACCAAAAGTCCCATGGAATGTCACCCAGAGCCCCCTGAGGTGTCACCCACATCCCAGAGAGCCTCAGGCTCAGGGCTTTGCCCTTTGACACCTTTGACCAGGGAGGTGACACCTCTGGGTGTCCCCGGTGCCGGGTGACACCTCTGGGTGTCCCCAAGGCCGGGTGACACCTCCGGGTGTCCCCAGGGGCAGTGCCCGCCACCAGCTCTGGGTCCCTGTCCCCCCTTGTCACCCTAACCCTGACCCCCCACCCAAAGCACAGCCACGCCCCGAGGGAGGACAGCGGGTGGCACTTGGCACCCAGGGGACAGGGAGGGCACCAGAACCGCGCCCAGTCTGTACTGGGCAAACTGGGAGGCCACTGGTGGGGCACGGGGGCCACCTGCTGGGCAGAGGGGACAGTGCCACCCCCGCTGGCCCCTGGAGCCCCTGGCAGAGGGGACACAGGCGGGGGGGTGGCACTGTCCCCTCTGCCCGGCTGCCTCCGCAGGGAAAGGGGCAGAGCCCGGAGCGCTGGTGGCCCCAGCAGGTGGCCCGGTGGCCCCAGCAGGTGGCCCAGGGACAGTGTCCCAATGTCCCAGCCAGAGGAACCCGGGCGAGCTCAGGGTGCCAGGCTGGGCGGTGGCAGCAGGTGGCAGTGGCACGACACAGACCCGCCAGAGTGTCCCCGAGCTGTGACAGAACAGCCCCGAGCTGTGACAAAACAACCCCGAGCTGTGACAGAACAGCCCCGAGCTGTGACAAAACAACCCCGAGCTGTGACAAAACAACCCAGAGCTGTGACAGAACAGCCCCGAGCTGTGACAGAAACAACCCCGAGCTGTGACAGAACAGCCCGAGCTGGTGACAAAACAGCCCCGAGCTGTGACAGAACAGCCCCGAGCTGTGACAAAACAGCCCCGAGCTGTGACAGAACAGCCCCGAGCCGGTGACAAATTAACAACCCCGAGCTGTGACAGAAACAACCCCGAGCTGTGACAGAACAGCCCCGAGCTGTGACAGAACAGCCCCGAGCTGTGACAGAACAGCCCTGAGCTGGTGACAAAACAGCCCCGAGTGCAGCGAGGGAAGAGCAGGGGAGGAGGAGGAGGAGGAGGAGGATGGAGAGGAAGGTCAGGCTCAGCTCGGGCAGATTTGGGGCGGCAGCTGCAGGAAATGAAAGCAGGATGAGAGGGGACACGGCACGTGCCAGCCGCTGTCCCCTCCCCTGGTGTCCCCTCCCCTGGTGTCCCCTCCCCTGCTGTCCCCTCCCCTGGCACATCCACACCCCCAAACTCTCCCGGTCACCATTCCCGGCACGTTTATCCCAATTTTTATCCAATTCCGAGCCGAAACTCGCGGTGATTACCCACAGAGCAGCCACTCTGCCTAATTAGCGGCCGTTAATTACGGGGCTCCCCCGCATCCCGGGCAGCCTCTCCTGGGATAATTTTTTGCAGCCTCAAGGAGATTTTGGGGTGTGGGGGGGAGCGGATTCCTCGTGGCCCCTCATTGTCAGCCCCAAAATCCCCCCAAAAATCCGCTTGGGGACCCCGGCTGCGGTGACAGGGCACGGAAGGGTTGGAAGGAGCTGGAAAAGGAATTGTTGAGGTTGGAAAAAAAAAAAACCTCCCAAAAAAAAATCATCCAGGGTGTCACCATCCGTCACCTCGGGCTGGTCACTGCCAGCGGGAAAAACGCCCAGGGATGGGTTTGGGACTTCCCTGCGAGCCCAAACTCCAGGCAGATTTCAGGGTATAAACAGATTTTATTAAAAAAAAGGAAAAAAAAATAAATGTACAGTTCTTGAGTTATACACAATTATTGCAGAGGTTATACCCTGAGGAGAGGCAGCTGCGCCACTCCAGACGAGAAAAAAAAAATAAGAGAGAAAAAGGAAAAAAAAAATAACCAAAAGGAAAAATATCCAAAGGCAAAACCACCCCGAGATGTCCTCAGGTCTCACCTGACAGGAATTGAGAACAGGGGGGGAATCGCGGCTGCTGCAAAAGGGGCGGCAGGATGTGGAAGAGAGGAAAAAAAAATTAAAAAATTAAAATTGTCACAGATCTCCCAGCCTCGCCGATGGAGGGAGGAGGCTTCTCCTTCGTGGAAAAACTCGAGGGAAAAAAAAAAAAAAAAAAAAAAAGTTTTTATTTTTTTGGCGGGGGTAGAAGGCAAAGGTTGTTCCCAAAAAAAAAAAAAAGAAAAAAAAAGTTTTTATTTTTTTGGCGGGGGTAGAAGGCAAAGGTTGTTCCCAAAGCTGCTCCCAGGGCTGTGGCAAAGTTGGGCAGTGGGAAACTCAAATTCAAAATTCAGTGGGAAATTCAAAATTCAA